TTTTATCGTCTGATGTATGTTTACTTAACATTTTTAACCGTATGAGGTCACCATCAATTTATCATTATTCCCAGAAATTTTCCTAATCACAATAATTTTAACAGAAAGGCATTGCTCAGCACTGATAATGAGTAAGCAAAAATTCTCAAGTTTTATCATACACAATATCCATAGACACATTATTTGAACAACTAATGTCCTAAAATTAAGAATTTCCCATCAATTATTAACTGATAAAATGTAAACACTACATAAATAATAATTTGAAGGTAATTTTTTTCCAAACTTTCATTTATGAATTATAAATAATAAAAATGTTATAAATTTTCGGAATTTAAATAAAGTTTTATTATTGTCCCCACTTTCATATATTTAATTTAAAGCCCTCTCAGCTCTAACAAAAAGTTTTAAAAATATTCATTAAAGAACATACTTTTTCTATAGATAAATTTTAAGACTAGTAAGAATAAATAATAAAACGTTTCTTATCACGTTAGAGATCAGCTCACTGAGAAACCTAATTAAATATAAACATTCTAATTATGAAACTATTTATTCAATAATTGAATTTTTAGACACGTAGTTTAAAATAAATAAAAATGTAATGCCCGAAGAAGAGTCCATTTTTAAAATTAATGAAATTATTATACTTTATTGGGAATCCTTTATCTAAAGAAGGGATGTCGCAGTCTCCCCCAATTTCAGAAAAATCTCCAAGTGAGGCTGAACCCCCGAGTGTATCTCAAGGTAGAGAGGTCAGAGACCTTAAGTGAGGCAGTAGCCGATTCGCAAGTGAGGCAGAACCCCCGAAATTCCCCTACTTACCTATGACAGTTAGTCTTCGCTTTTCCGAGCCGTTCATGTTTGCACAAACAAGAACTGTTATTTTCACTTTGGAGAGTTTCCCATTAGTCCATTTTATCTCCTTTAAATTTTAACGTCTGATTGAGAATCAATTTGTAAAATAATCCAGCTTCGTCAGCATTAAAAATGTCTTTTTCTTAATACTGCGGCCACACTTCAGTTTTTCACATCCGTTACATAAACACTCGCTTCTTCTCCAATAGTCTTTCCTGAAGAAATATTATTCCGTTTTTTTAATCTATCCAGCCATCCATTGGAGCATACAATCCTTTTCCTCTAATTTTTCAGTAAACTCATTAGCTTTAATTTTATTAATAAATTAGCAATATGTTTAATAGTTTAAAAAGTTGTTTTGAGTGTCTGTTTACTGTGTAAAATGAATGAGCAATTTTCTTATTAAATATGTAATTTATAACACAGACTCTTGTTTACGGCCCTAATCAAGTGAGTTTTTTTTTTTATTAAATTTTCAATTTGTTTTTACATTTATATCAAATAAAGATTATATCAAAAGTATTAAAATGAAATTAATGCTTAAATAATAATCGTATAAAATCGATTGTAAAATTTTACAATCACATCATTAATTATGTCTTAGATTAGAGATGGTTTTGGTGAAAAGTAGGAGACACCGGTGAACCATTTTAACAAAGCTTCTTCTAGGTTTTCTCTTCCGACGAAACCATATTTTGTCGTAAGTGGCAAGAATTGCACTTCGATTTTTCCAAATGTGTGATTTTTAGATTGTGACTGTAGTTTGATCTTAATAATGTTTGAACTGTAGATTTTGACAAGGAAAATTCCTTACACAGTGACGACTGATTGGTTCCATCTTCAATACGTTTTACAATTTTAACTTTGTCCTCCATCGAAAACGCTTTTTTCTTTTTTGAGAATTTGCCATTTTTAAATTCCAAAAATTCATTATCACTTCTTAACATGCATTTAAAAAACCTTCAAGCGCAACAAAAACACACGAGTGGTAAATTCATTTGGGTACATCAGCCCACCCTTTTCTACCAGGTTGAAATATTTATGAGAGAAGTTATCATTCTCTAAGACTAAACTCTTTTTTGTTGAGAGCATTTGAATGCACGAAGAGCAATGTAACTTTTTCTTCAGCTGATGGACAGCATATCCAGAAATATGGACAGATGGTGGAATTTCCTCTTCATTTTCGAATTGAATATCGACAAAGCCTTTTTATTCAATTTTGTCATTTTTTCCGTATCACTGGTTTGTTTCTGTACCCATCTTTTCAGAAAAATCTGCCATAAAGTCAGAGATAGGCACTTTTCCATAAGATTCGGATCTTAATTTTAACAAGCTTGTAATCCTGAGTTTTTTTTCTGTCTTTCACACGTGGTCAACTGGAAAATTATAATTGCCTCTCTTTAACTGTCGATATTGACCAAACCGACCTTCCAAGTTGTCTGTTTGAAATTTGCCAGTCGAAACAAATTTATCTTTTTTTTTCGCTGGTGAAATGTTTTATAACATCAGTCAGGGCTTGAAAAGTATGCTGAAACGCAAAAAATGTTTCTGTTGTCAATTTGCCTTGATTTATTTTAACTCCAAGGATTTCTTTCTTTTGCCACTCTTTCAACCAACTTGAAAGACAAGAAATAAATTCTATTCTTCCGTCATTCACACAAGAAAAAAATGCAGAATCGTGGTCAAGCTTTTCATAGCTTTCCTTGTATTTTTAATATTGGCTATTTTCCACCACCTAATTATTATTTGAAGGAAGGTTATGATGCCCTTATACTTCACTTCATCTAATATTGTAAGTGCATGTATATTGGATTCATGAAATATTCGGAGGCATAAATTTACGTTTACTGCAGGGAAAAGAGGCTTTCTCATTCAGCATGGGTGCCATTTTCACTATTTCATTTTTTCCCCTTCACTATAGTGAATGTTACGTAAATCATCGAATGATGCCTCCACAGTTTCTTCAAAGTTCTCTAAAGAAGGGAAGAAAAGAGTAGTACCTTTAGTCTTTTGATTGGGCTATATATTTCGAAGAACCTTCAAAATATGAACGGAATCAAACAACAGAAAAAGTGGAATGTTTGTGTTATAAGGATTTAGAATGCATGTTTTTAAAATACCTCCACACAACTCAGTAAACATGTTTCGATTTATCCTTTTGTTATCAGCAATTATGATAAGTCCTGCTTTTGTTGCAACAGCTATTGCTGCCTTAGTCATACCTAGCATTTCTTCAGCATTAAAATTTTTTGCAGGAAACAAAGCAATAACATTTTTGTTTTCGGAATATATATAGCTTATCATTAAACACTGTGATATCGCTTATTGAGATAAATGAACATAGATAAAATATAAGGGAAGCATGTATGTTTACACATGATGTATCCAAGATACAAGAAACAAGCTGGGATTAACTCGAGAGAGTTAATAATTAAGTGATAAATAAATCACTATATTATAAATTACATATCTTACTTTCTTACCTAAATCAAGCAGGTAACTGAAAAGAAATAATTCAATCAAGAAAAATGAGGACAGGGTCATTCTCTTTAAAATGCAGAACAAAATAACATGCACTAATGTTTGCCAATGCCATTTGTCCTTGAATCTGATACATGTGGGCCGGAGTTTAAAACCTTTATTTTCATCAACTTCAAGACAAAAATTCTTCCTAAACATAACTAAGGAATTTAAACTTAATTTAGTAGCATTATATACGCATTTAATTTCCATTGGAATGGGGTCTACCGGAGAAGCACCCAAAAAGGGATAAAATGGATTTACAATAAGCCCCCGTGTTACTGAAAGTATAATCAGAAAACTTGTGAGCAATAATGGTTTTCACACCATTTTCACATTCACGTCCTTGAGCCACAGCGGGTATATGGGATAAATCCTTCGAATTACCTTCATTTGACCCTAACATGACTAAATAAGCTTGTGGCCCTTCACTCAAAAAAGTTGTGCACCCCTATCATAAATGATTAAGTATTTATGTATTAGAACAAAATCATAACAAAGATATGGGGAGTGGAAAATCCTAAAAAATATAGTTAAGATTAACATTAATAAATATTAAGCACTCACCTTATTTAAATCTCTCAAAATTTTGCATTCAACTCTATAAATTTTGCTGACTTTCATTTCCGCTTTACATTTACTTTGAACAATGTAAAAATAATCTCAACGGACATCTTTCTATAGACTCCATGATTTAAAAAAATCAAGGTTTTTCTACAAAAAAATAACTTAAATTGGCGCATGTAAAATATTGTACAACAACCACTATCTTTCATTCATTTAGCATTGCTCGATGGTAAATGTTATTCCTACTAAAATTTTCGAAAGGAAGTAGTTGTGTTTTTTTTAATATTATACCCAAAAACGAATAGATTCTCGAGTTGAGACCAACGCTCTAATCAAGATGAAGTCACTTTTCTCTTTAATAGCTAAACTAATTTCTCAGTTACAACCTTCTTTTTTTTGTTTTAAGAAAATTTCAATAGTTAAACCTGATGAAATAGCAACACTATCTGTAACACTTAAAGGTGTATGCGGAAAGTCCAGTTTGTAGAAAAATACCAGATCAATATCAAAAACAGAATGGCATGTTTATTGAATAATTTTTTACTTTCTTAATTGACTTAATAACATCACTTGAAAGAAAATTTGATTTTCCCTAGTCTAGTAATTTGTTTTAATATCCTATCATTAGGATCTTTCCGTGCTATTGTGAGTTTATCAGAAAGATATGCTGGCAATTCTTTTAATATGCATGGAACTGCATTCGGCTTTAGTGCCAATTTAGATCTTGGCACTACTAAAACTGGTCTATCTGGCTTTTTAATTGAATCCTCTTTGATTACTTGTTCTGGTTTAAAATGTTTGATGCACAACACGTTTCTTGCTCCAGGAATCCAGACTTTGCTAGGAATTTTCTGCAACCACAGAGCTCGACGCTCTACATTTGACGGGATTTGAAAACTGCAACTTTTTCCATCTAATTTTTATAGTTAGACCGACATCCCGAAACTCAGCAACAAGAAGGCATTGAGAATGACCTGAAATATAAAACAGTAACAAATTATCCCATCAAAATATAAAATCTCTACTTAAAATATATATCAGTGGCCTGAAAATTTTCAGTGGTCATCGCAATTATTTAAGAATGTGTTGCATTCTAAAATATCATTCATGCCTTGAGATAAAACCAAGTTTAATACATGAGCATAACAGTGCGAGAATAGAGCTTTTGGATATATATCTGTAACATTTTTGTGTAAACCTGACAAATGGCCTGACATTACAGCAGCACCATCGTACGTCTGAGCAACGAATTTATCAGCCAGTTTATATTCACTTACGGTTTTCTGAACGTGCTCGAGTAAACCATTAGATGTGCGGTCTGCACTTACATCGATAAATCCAACAAACCTCTCTGTAACACTGCTGTCTCCCTTCACATCATATCTCAAAACTGTAGAGAGCTGTGGCCTTTTTCTAATATCCGACGCTTCATCTAACATTAAAGCTACAAAATCTGCTTCTTCTATTTCTGGTTTAATAGTTTCTTTCAGTTCTTCACTAATAATACTAATTAGTTCGTTTTGTATATCATTTGAAGCGCCTTTAAAAACTGTGGAATTTTCAAAATGTTCTGCTAAAACTGGATAGTAGAGTTTTAAAAGATTTAAATTTTCAACATAATTTCCTTGATTCAAAGAGGAAGTTTTTTCATTGTTCCCTCGGAAGGGTAATTCTTGTTTCGCAAAAAAATTTGTCACATCTATGAGTCGTTTTAAAACTTCACGATTTTTCTTAACTTTTTGGTTTTGCAAATTGTTATTAACTTTTAGGGCTTTGTCTATTCCTTTATCTATTCGCTGCTTTTCAAAATTATACATGTCTACTACACATTGAAGATGTGATTCAGAATTTTCGTGTGCCTTAGTTGATTTGGTTAATCCATTCAAATTACTCAAACCACTAAAATTCCAAACGTTTTTGGATTTGGAAAACAAAAGACAGTTTGGAACAAAGTTAGACAGCAAAAAAGTTTGGACAAACTGTCACTCCCACAGAGCCAAGTATGAGAATCATAATTAGAAACTGTAAAGTGTCTGGTATAGTCTCTGCCTCTTTCTTTTACTTTAGACGATAAATTTCTGAGTGATGGACAAGGTCTACCATTTTGGACAATATGCAGTTTATCCTCAAATCTTAAAGAACCGAAGGGTTTTTTCTGGAGTTCTTGTATAATATCCGATTCAGCCATTATCGAATCAGTAAAATGGGCATCAATGGGGAACAAATTTCAGTTCATTCAATGAAAGCACTGAATTATCACATACGAATATTCAAAGACTATGCAAAAACTTATCAAAACTCCATCTCAATTAATGAAAACATCTATGACACAGCAAGACACAAAAATCACTGAACAGAACTGAAACAAACAGAAAAAACGCGTGCACATCGGAAGTTGACTGTTCTGACTTACGATCTAACTCCCACCCCAAAACTTTCAATAAATTAACTAAACAATCACAGTTTAAAAGCAGAATATACAATATAATGAAAGAGAAAAGTTAATCAAAAAGTCCTGCAAAATAAAAAAATAACACCCTTTAAGAAAAGAGAAATTGTAACTGAATAACATTTCATAACAACAGGGAAGTACAGCGGATAACGGAACAGCAACGCTGTTCTAGTTTAAAATCTAACCCCTTCACTTGAAGAGTGCGAGAGCTTCTGTCCAAAAGAAGCGCAAAAATCTGCGGTGAGTAGCGTACTTTTAGTTTGGTAAAAAGATGCGCGGGGTGGGGGGAGACCCCCAGCGGGGACCTCAGTCATTCACCCCCAGTGGGGATGAATGATGGAAGTAACTCCACAAGGTTTTGCAGGTACGTCGAATCCAGTTTAAGCCATTCGCTGAGGATTTCATCGCACAAATGCACCAAATTGTGAGGATGTTGATTTCGTCGTTTTACCCGTTGTTCTAACATGTCCCACAGATTTTCAATGGAATTGAAGTCAGGTGTAATTGAGTGTTCATAAAACCAGTCACATATTCCTCCAGCCCGATGAAGTTTGCTGTTATCTTGAAAGATAAGGGCTTCGAAAACACATTCTTCATGAAGATATTGACAGAAATGACACCTAATCATCCAGAATGTTCAAATAAACATGTGGGTTTATGTTAGTGGCCACCTCAATGATGGGGCCCAATCTAAAAATAAAATGCCCCCAAATCATGACAGACCCACCTGCGGCTTGAAACTGTCCTTGCTCGCAGTCAAAAGGAAATGTTTCATCTGCCCTTCGTTGCACTCGACGACGTGCGTCTCTTGAATAAAGGCAAAAACGTAATTCGTCAGATCATATTACATTCCGCCAGTCAGCAACTGTCCACGTTCGGTGGCTTCTAGCCCACTGAAGTCGGGCAGCTTTATGTGCCTGTGTGAGCAGTGGTCTCTTACGAGATGTTCGACTGCAAATGTTAATTACATGCAACTCTCATCGCAATTTTCTCTCACTAACAGGTTATGATAGACCTTAATTTAGTAACTGAAGCAATTCCTGTCGGATTTGGAAGCGATTTTGATTGATAAGTCGTGAAACACGTCTCCGGTCCCTTTCATGCAGGATCTTTTTCCCACCACAATTCTGATGTCGTCTTTCGTGACCACATACATGTATTGCATTGTTTGTAGAGACGTTGAACAGTCCGCATCGAAACACCAACAAATCCAGCAACTTCATTCACCGTATGACCACGGGCACGGCGGCCAAACACAAATGCCCTTTTTTCCACTCTATCACATTCTTACACTTACCCGTATTTACACATAATTTCTGCTTCAAACAAAAATATAACTACTCGCCTTTGATCACGTTAAAGCAGTGTGCCCACAGTTGAGCATGTTGATTGATCACTGCGCACGATTCATCATCGCTTGCGTACTAGAGTGACTAAATTTTTGTCCGGTGAGCTTATATATATAGTAGATATATATCAATATAAGATTAAAGATTACAAAATTAATTTCTAGATATCAATTTTAGAATGAATCACACCTGAAAAGTTGTAATTCTATTTAATAAGACAGGTATTCAAACCTTAAACCAATAAAATATTTTATTGGAAGAGCTTCGAGTAATATTTTCTAATCATAATCTTAGAAATTAGTTTCAGTTGGTGCGATGTTATCCAAATTATACTTCAGTTTTTAAAGATAAAAAAGGAAGTTTGAACAGCTTTATTATTTTGTAAATTGAAACATTTTGATGATTAAATTTCCCTTTTTTACCTATTTATTTTTTTATTATTTTTAACAAACAAAAAATTCTTTAAAGAAGTTTTAATAAACATATAAATCTCTATTTTGATTTTGAGCATTTTCTTTAATACTCTCGTTACGTAATATTACATGTCTTACTTGATATCTAACACATTTAAAACACAAAGTTATTAGTAATAACGAATGACATTGGAAACATTTCATCTTATATAAAATTATTTACGAAAGCATTTCTAAAACGTTAGTTAATAAAATAATATTTATCATGCCTAGTGAAATATATTGTAAAAGATAACATTTAACATCCCAGTATAAACAAGAAATAAGCGATTCAGAACAAAAAACTTTGACAATAAATATACGTCATTAATTAGAAATTACTCCGATAATAATATTTAAATTTAGCGAGAAGTTAAAAAATAAAAACTACTCACTTAATTATAATTCAAAACCAGCTGCAAATAATCTTTTACAATGAAATATTTTTTGGTTAACATAAATATAAAGGTGAAATATTGAAATGAAGACCTGGCACAATATTAAAAGAGTTTTTATAAGTAAATAGAACATGAATAAGTAAAGTGACTTTTGATGACGATTTTAAAAGATATTTATAACACGCTATAGAATCACCACAGCATACAACACAAAACCAGCTGAACATGCATACTGATGCATCGCGTCAGAGCTGAAGATCATTTTCAGTACCGAGGTCCCCTCTTCAACAATAACTCCTCCTCCTTCCGAGACAGCCCTGGTCCAGTACCCTACCAATCAGGCTATAATGTTCCCCGTTTAAATATTTTCAGAAAATTACAAAATTTACATAATAAAAGTATGTAATCAAATTAAGTTTCTAAATTTGTCAAATATATTTTTCGCATACAGCATAGTGACTAAAGCTTCTTGGGTATAACAATTCATAGAAAATTGTTTTTTAGAGAACATAATTTTTTTTTTTTAATTTAAAAATTTATCACAGTTCTTGATTGTCAGTGAAAACAGTTCTTGATTTCATAAGAAAAATTTAAAAAAAAATTACTTTGGTATAATACCTCAAATAGTAACGCAGAATAAATAAATAAATATACTAGAAAGAGAAATGTGGAAATCAATAAATGAAATTTCTCAGCATTCATAAGTCTAAATAAATATACACCACCTTTAAAAAATAGCTTGATGCCTTTTTTGAATAATAAAATTAATATTATAATAAAATAAATAATAAATAAATATATTGCCGAAATAAAATTAATTTTAACAAAAACATAATTAAATAAAATATTAAGTTTTACAGTATTTGATGATATTGAAATATAATAAGTATTTAATAAGTCTTCAACTCTTAAAGTTCTATTGATATTTTTATGAAATATTCGAAATCGAGCTGATTCCGTAACGTTAATTAATATGTGATATTGTTTGTTAAGTTTGATAGAAAAGCAATGAAGATAGCCTTACTTTGTTTATAAGTTAAATTATATTAAAAAAACTAATAAATTAAACAATCATTAAAAATAATTTTTAAACCTGTTTCGATTTTGAAATACAATTATTTTTTATAGAGGGTGTTAAACAAAAACATTAGGAAAAGGAAAATTTCTAACGAAAATAATTTAAGCTAGCTTGAAGAACAAAAGCTCTGCATTTACAGAAGTTTCGTTACTTCTGAATAAAATAACAAAGGTATAAAATGTATATCATATGCATAAAATTAAAACATGTGTAAAATACAAAGGAGGAATTATACAAGAAAGGAGTGATGTACACACTTTAATGCAATATAACCCTTTTTTATTTTGATCAAAAAAACGTAATATTAAGAGCAAATATTATAATTTATAGATTCTATTTTATAATTTATACATTCTAATATCAAATATATACGGCGGGGAGGCAAAGTTTTGATGGCGAAAAAAATTCATGAGTTATTAATTACTAAAAAAAAAGAATCAAGCAATTAAAAGCTGATTGAATGAACACTACAAAGTTTATAAATTTTTAATAATCTGTGTCGATGCCAACAAGAATAGTGTAAATAGGAAATGAGCTTATGTAATCGTAATATTAATCGATGAATAAAGGGAGAAGCTTATAGCTCACATGCTTGGGTATAATAAGTATTGATACATTGATTTCTACCAAGTTTTTCTGAGCTTCTAACAGGTTAAAGCTTGGGTGTGTAATTCAGGAAACTCGGGGCATTTTCTAATAATTTTTTTAAAAAATTTAATTTTCGTTATCGGCATCATGAAAGAAGTCAATGGTCAAGAAACTAGTTTTGTTATGTTGTAGAATGACCAAATTATCCCTTTGCCCTTTTTTTTTTTTTAGTTTTTTCTTATAACAGGAGCTTAAGCGTAATAACAAACCTGAATATGCAGCCTTTGATAAAATGTGGACAGAATGCTCGGTATCAGGCTGAGGATATCGTTTTTAGAGCTGGAGTTAATACAGATCGACTGCCGAATAATGTGGGAATTAATTCTATTAAGCTTGTTTTCAGTGCAGTCCTAGACTTATTTTCTGAAATAAATCGACGCAGAATTATCTGATCTGATTTAAATTTGCATTCAGGCTGTGAGTCGATAAGATAATCAGTACAAGCATTTTGAACGTTACACATCTCACGGTGGAAAAAGTAATGGGTGAAATTATTAAAGCTATTCAATCTAAGGATGAAATAAAATTGGACGAGGCTTTTTCAGTCGATGTTATTACAATAAGACGTCCTGTAGGCCCCGACCAAACGAACAGAAAAGTGATAAACGTTGACAAGTACTCTAAAAATCAATTTTGACTGTACCAGAAGACGATTAGGGCCTTTGTTGTGCTAAAGCCATTATATACGCTTTGGCACACAAAAAAGGTGACTCAAGAGCAATAAATGCACTGAATGACAGGCAACGACTAGCTATCAAATCAAGCCCGAGCTCTGCACTTGGCCGCGTATGTTCCTGTTGGACTATGCGCTCTAACAGAAATAAACACATTCAGGAAACTACTCAAAATTCAAATTGCTGTATTTTCTTCTGAAACTCTGAACCGAGTAAGAAAAAATGATATTCCATCTTTCTTCTACTTACGTATGTACGTTTGTTATTATTCACAGACTTATTTTTATTTTAGTTTATCTACAAAGGAGAAGCACAGAACGTGAGAATGGATTTGTGGCTCCACGATTATCATTACGATGTCATAAAGTCTGCTAATGGGTTCTTTGCCGCAAATTTTATCTATACTGAAGGTGACAAACCATTAAATAGAATGGAAGATCAGCTCTCAGCCCTATATGCTTAAGTCCCAGGAAGTGCAACGATTGCAACAGGCTGTGCAGATTTGAGCGTTGTTTTAAAGCAGTGTCCGGAAAACAAGAAATGTCTGTGACTGGGTATGTATTACTCTTATTTTCGTAACGTATTTACAACGTATTATTCCCAAGATTTTATAGTTATAATTAGTTTATTTATCAATGTATTTATGTTTGAATATATAGATTTATCAGTACAGAAAATGTTGCAAAAGGATTCGTCGGAGATACTGCCTACGCAAAGAATACCAAGGTGGTACAATTAAGTGCAAGTCTTTCAGAAAATACCAAGATGCATCTGTGCTACGTACGAGTCATCCAGCCAAAAAATTAGAATGCTCATATTCTTTGATTTTGAAACTGATCAAGAATTCGGAGAACATAAAGTCAATTTTGCTGTTGCACAGTACTCCAGTGGTGAAGAAATAAATTTTAAAGATTACGAAGCTTGTGCAGAGTTTTGTGCCTTGCTCTTTTCATTGAAGCATCGGGTATATACAGCAATAGCTCACAACATGAAAGGGTATGTATTTTGTTTGTATTTATATATTGTATATAAAAGCATGCATTTTTTAAAATTTATTTGTATGAATACTTTTTCTATTTTAGTTTCGACGGTCAATTTGTGATGGCTTGGTTGTTAGAGCAAGGTGTAGTGCCCGAGATAATACCAAATGGATCTCTGATAATGGGTTTAACACTTTCTTCTTGGAACATCACTGTGATCAACCCTCTGAATTTTTTACCAATGCCATTAGCCAAGCTACCGACATGTTTTGGTTTAGCAGAACAGAAGAAATGATTCTTTCCCCTTACTTTCAATGTAAGGAAGAATCAAAATTACGTTTGACCCATGCCTTCAATTGAGACGTATCATCCATATAGATACGCCCCCAAGAAATCTTTTTGAATTGATATGAAGCACATAAAAAGGATACTTTTGATTTTCAAAAAGAGATGCTGGAATACTGTTGGTGAGTATTTAATTTTTTTTTCTTTCTTTTAAGTTAAATTTGATTACCGAAAATTTTATTGTTGCATTGGTTTATATTTTTTTCAGTTCTGATGTTGACATTCTTCGGCGATGCTGTATGGAGTTTCGAAAGCAGTACCTCATGTTACGAGAGTGGATCCATTTTGGTGAGCTATATTAAAAGTTTTATATATTTCAAATTAAAGAAGTTATGCATACATACGCAAAGTATTTGGATATATATAACTATTTACATGTATTTAATTATTATTTTTTTTTCTTTAGAGTTACATCACTATTACGTCTGCCTGCATTTCTACTTATCGAAGTAATCGTATCAAACCAGGAACAATTGCCATGGTACCCATAACTGGATATATAAAAAAAACAAATCATAGTGCAGATGCCATGCTGTGGTTGGATTTTACAGCGTTAAAAGAAAAGAAAACAAAATACATCATTCTCTCAGTAATGCAGGAGGAGAAAAGATTGAAGGCATTTCTGTTGATTGGTTTTGCCCAGACACACAAACCATTTATCAATACCACGTAAGTATGACTTTTAATATTTGTAATGCATCTTTTAATAGGAAAAATATATTTTAAATATTGAAAAAAATGTATTTATTATTTTATTCATTGCTGTTTTTTAGGGGTGCTTTTACCACGGATGCAATAAATTCTATGATGGAGATGTTCTACATCCTTTTGAAGGAATCACCATGGCAACTTAGTTCAAAAAGGCACAAGAAACATCTCAATGGCTACGTTCGAAGGGTTTTAAAGTAGTCGAAATATGGGAGCACGACTTTCTTAAAATGAAGAAAGAGAGAGAACTAATTGATTTTCTCAAGAATCATAACTTTAAGAACAGACTAAATCCAAGGGATGCCTTTTTTGGTTGCCGAACAAATGCAGTTATACCATGAAGGACCTGCGAAATACGTTGATTTCACGTCCTTGTACCCTTGGGTGAGTTGAATACTTTTTATTATTTCCAATGGCAAGGCAAAAGGTACAAATAGAAAGATGAAATAAATAACGAATACAAATGTACGTAGGATAACAAAGAAAGAAGACCGAAGTCATTGCCTTAAAAGTTCTCTTGCTTCCCAATGTCTTGAGGGCTCAGTGTGTCCATGAAGGTCCCCACATAGAAACAGGTGGTCCCTGCCCAATTTCTCACCAGATTTACAAAGTGGACAAAAAGGCGTGGTGGAAAGGACTATGCGGTATAAGTGAGCAGAAAGACAATCGTGGCCTGTATATAAGCGGAAGGCCGCAACTGCATCACGTCTTGGTTTGTCGGGAATTAAAGAAGGGCTCACATTTCTCCAACGTTTCAAAGCTATGCGAGTCTGAAGGTCTTGCAATGAGTTGGTTTTACATAAATTGAGTTGAATACTATAACTGTTCATTTTTTTTAATATTATTTTCATTTTCTAAGTTTTATTTTTTTATGTTTAGAGTTAATTTTTTTTTCTTATACAGGTCAATAAGTGTTGCTAATAATCGATCGGACATCCCAAAATTTTAACAGAAAATTTGACAAATATGGATCAATACTTTGGTCTTGTACACTGTAAAGTAGTACCTTTTTGCAGTTTGTACCTTCCAGTGCTCCCATATCTTTGTGCAGAACTTGCACAGAAAATCTACAACAGTCTAAATGCACACATAGTGAAGAGCGAGCCCTTACTGGAATATACTGGTTAGTGATGAATTAAAACTGGCAAAGAAGGGATACTCCATCAATCATGTAAGAATATATTTATCTTTTCGTCAGATTCAATTTTTTTTTTTATCTATGATTCTTATTTTATTCTTATAACTTTTAGATTTATGAAGTCTACCATTTTGAAAAAACGTCAGATGAATTGTTTAAAACCTACATTAGCATGTTTTTAAAAATGGAACAAGAAAGCAGTGGATGGCCACGTGGGTGTGAGATGGAGGAACAAAAGTCTGAATACATCAGAGAATATGAAGAAAAGCAGGGCATTAAACTTGACCCTGGCGGAATTGAATTTAATCCAGGACGGAGACAAGTGGCTAAGTTAGCCTTAAATTGCTTAATGGGCAGGTAAGATGTTTATTTCTTCCGTTTTTAATGTTCTTTACACTTAATTTTTTCAAATTATGTTTATTCAAAGTGATAATTTTTTTACCAGATGGGGTATGAGTACGAGCAAAAAACAAACGAGCTGCGTACATTCTATTCCACAGTTCAACAAATTATTAGCGGATACTACGAAATTTGTAAGCACTTTAATTATAATAGTTTTTTTTTATGTTGAAAAAAAATTGTTTTTTCTTTGAATTTATATGCTTATGTTTATTTTTACCACGTTTATATAAAATTGCCTTCGTGTATGTCTGTCCGGGTGGAATCTTGTAATCGATTTTAAACTAACTTCCCGACTAACTACAAATTTTAAATTTGGCACATAGTTCAGAATTGGATGACAATGCATGAAAATGAAGAGAAAAAAGACATACAAAGTAAAATAAAATTAAAAAAAAAAATAATTTTCGAGATTGTCTTTTGTTGTCGATTCCATTATTTCAATATCATTTTTATTAATNTATTACATGTCAGGTGAAAAGATTTTTATTGTCGGAGTATTTTTATTGGCTGAAAAATCACGTGGTAGGATCCAGTTTTTCCTCATTCATTTCCAGATTGTTTTGGTTGTCATCAGCATAAAACTAATGAAAGTCGTAAAGGTATTGTTTTTATATCAAGATTTTTGTATCCCTAATTTAAAATGAAAGTTCTATTATTTTAGTAGTGGTCTTGTAGTAGTCTTGACTAAGAAAAATAATCTAAATTAAAAAATATATTTTTAAAAACCGCGTTTTTTGTAGTGAAGAATAATAATTGAAAAGTAATAATTTTTAAAAAATATGAAACAAAAATTTAAAAAAATATAATTTAAAATAAAAAAATTCAAAATAAAAAAATAATATTTTCAAAAACCACGTTTTCGTAGTGGAGAATAATAATTAAAAAAAATTGAGAAACGAAAAACGTGGGGCGCATGAAATACATAACAGTACATATACACATTTTCTTACTCATACACATATACATCCACATACATATGCATATACACAAACATATTCCAAATCCACATTCAGATACAATTACAGATATACTTACACATATTTTCAAGAGCACACATACACACACTAATATAACATTACTGTTATACTTCATGCGCCCCACGTTTTTCAATTTTTTTAAAAAATTTTTTTTAATTATTTGTAGCTCAAGAATATGTCGTCTCACAAGACAGTTCAACAAACATTTTCCTGGCTGCTTTCACTACCATATGGGCCCGATTGAAGTTATATGAAGAACTGGACAAACTTGGGAGAGACGTTCTCTATCACGACACTGACAGCATCATTTACATCTCAACAGGATTTAATGATCCTCCTATTGGAAATTTCCTGGAAGAACTCACGGATGAAGTAGACGGGGACATCCTTTTGTTTCTGGTAAGCACATTTTTTTTTTAAATTTAACATTTTTTATTTCATTAAATATTTTATGAATATATTATTTATTTAATTAATTATTTTATGAATGTTTTCTATAGAAACTTAATAAATTACATTTTTTTTCCCGTTTATTCAGGTGGCCCTAAAAATTACGCCTTCGAGACCTACTGGGAAAACAGCCTGTAAATTTCGAGGGTTTACACTAAACTTCAAGAATTCATCAACTTCAATTCCATGAAAGAACTTTTAAAAGAGATGGACAGTAATATCGTCATACACAATCCAGCAAAAATTGTAAGAGATGGAAAACGTCGTGAAGTTGAAAATAAGGTATATATAATATTATTTATGACAAACGTGTACCCTTTCATATTGATATTGAAATTCCATGTTATGTTAAGCACGTTAATTCTTTTTTTATTCTTATATACATTACTTTATTAATTTGAATTCATTTATACGTGCTAAAACAGGCACATCTTCATTTTTTTATAAGGGTGTAAGACTGTAAAATAAGTTGTGATAATTTTTTAAATTCATTTTTAAATATGGATTTGCCTAAGCTTGTCCGCCATTTATCATGTATTATAAAGTGGTCCTACAAGATCGGGGAAAAGTTTTTTTTGTCAAAACTAATTGAAAACAATATGTTTTACCCGAGGCCTAAAAATATAATATATTGTTATGGTTGTTATCAACCACTTTTTGATAAAATAAAAAACGTTAAATTTGAAGATGGTTTACCCTCAAATCTTTCGAGTATTAGTGATGCTGTAATTATTAATGATGATCTTATGTCAGAACTATCGAGTGACAAAAAACTCAATAACCTTTTATCAAAATATTCTCATCATAAAGAAAATTAACAATAATATTTTCGGTTCGAAATATATTTCGTAAAGTCCGAGTATTGCGTGATATTAATTAAAATTCAAATTATTTAGTCTTATACAAAAATCCTCGAGATAAAAGTCAGATTAATCACCTTGGAAGACAAATGTTTCCAGGAAAAATGAAGTCATTTATTGAAATTTTTCATGATTCTACAGCTGAGACCTATTCTTATTTATTTACAGACTTTCGTCCGGAAGCAGATGATCGTTTGCACTTGCGCACTGGAATTTTTCCGAAGACAAACAGTTATCAACCTCAACAGTCAGTTGCACTTTAACTCTTGAAATGTCTTCAGCCATCATGCTTGACTTCGAAGGATTTCAGTTAAAATCTTAGGACTTCAGGAAACTTGCATCATATGGAATGGGAGTATGAAAAATTGCCCTACTCTTCTTTAAGTTGTATTCTGACATTTTTGTCTCTTGTTTTTGATGATATATATCTCAAAAACTCTGAAAAAGCTGAGTTTTTAACAGAATTTTTGGGAAGAAATGTAATGATTTTAAATTGCCCTAAGGTAGAATATTTATGAAAAGATAATTCTGTTTCACGTAGTTTTCATGGTGACAGTTTTAAACACTGTGCTTTAACAAAAGCAGCTGCTTATGCTCAGTTTATAAGAACAAGTAAATTATGGGATTGTGATAGTTGCTTATGGTATGTCGACATAAATTTTTTAAAGCTCCTCAATAAGAGTAGAGCAAAAGCTACTCTCTGAAGAAAGTGTCCCAATAGACATATTAAGTCAATTTGTGAGTGTGCTCTCAACCTTTTAAGAGGAAACGTTCCCCTTAGTAAATGATTTAAAAGTAGTTTAGCTCCTTTCAAATAAGTTCTTCGATAACTGAGAGAAAAAAGAATTCCTATTTACAAAAAGAGACCACTTCTGATCCAAAAAAGTGAAGACTTATCTTTTCTTTTACCATCGGCAGTTGGCGTATTATCTTCTCTTCTTAATGGAGCACTTACCATCAGTAATTGGCGTATTATCTTCTCTTCTTAGTGGAGAGTAACTAAAAATATGATTTAGTGCCATACAACAGTTTGAGGAGCAGCATTTAAACGAATAGATTCAGAAATGCATAATATACTGCATAGTAATCTTCTTGATGATGAAAAAATCAAACTTAATTTTCAAGTTCTACAAAAATGTATCGCATTTCCATCGATAAATAACGTGTCATCGGTGAATGAATTATCTTCTGAACTCCCAACATACGATTCTGAAAAAGATTCTTTTAGAACCTTTGGGAACTGATGACCCAGAAATTACTCCAAAAAATCTTAAACTTTTTCACCCAACTCGTAATTCAAAGGCAAAAGCTTCAAAAAATTTGGAATTTGAGATTGTACAATCTACACCCTTAAAATATCAAAATGTATTAAAAGACTTGTTAGATTTTTTACTACAAAATAATGTTATTAGGACTGATAAAAAAGAAATAATCATAAATGGAAAAGTGATTTCAGGTTAAAATGCGTCGAAAATCGTGAATTTATTCTTAAGGCAAGGAAAAATAAAACTTCTTGGCTATGAAGAAATGCAAAACATAATTGTACTTCATAATTTTATGTAAAAAAATAATAGCTTGCTAAAAACCAGAACTTTTGTTAAAACAAAAAATGTAAAAACGTCTTGGATCAAAATGTAGTTTTTCATTCTATAAATTTTTTGTAATTGGCTTAAATATTTTTTGACGAATCTGTAACAAGAAAAATGTATGTATATTTATATATAATGATTCAGTTTGTGTTTAAAAATATATGTATATTTATGAATAGATTTAGTTTGTGTTTAAAAAGAAAAGATTGTACTCGATATGTTAATATCAGAGAAACTGTAATTTTGTGATGATTGTTAGTGAATTTAAAAAAAGTATTGTCTTTTCAAAAATTTGTGTATTCAATGAGAGAAAAAAAAACTTTTTCTAGATTTTTTTTACAGATAATTATTTTTCAGGTGTTTCTGGAGTTTTCCACTGTTTTTAATACTCTTAGTTAAAAATTAAGAAAAATAGTTTTTGAAATATTTAAGCTATAAATATTATTTTATTGAAAAAAGTTTAAAGTTTTGGCCTTTCAAATAAATAAAAAAGATTTTTTTTAATTTAAAACTATTAATAATAATTATATTTTAAAGAAATAAATAAAAATGTTATTGAAAAAAAGATAATGCTTAGACACTATATAAGATGGAAACAGAATAACTCATTTAAAAACTAATTAAACTTTATTATTTCTTAAATATAATTTTTACACCATATCTCTTTTTTACAAATTGAAATATTCGAAAATCGTTTTTTCTTCCGCTGAGTTTCTGATCTGCACTTTTTATACAGAATCCTTGTCAACATTTTACAATAAAGTAAATACAATATTGCCTACAGACGTTTGAAGTTATACTTTGTAATGATATTTTATTCCAATTCACATTTGAGAATTTTTTTTACAAATATTGAGTTATCTAGGACTTATGCCTCTCGAGTTGTAGGAAAATGTTGCAGCCAACGAACAAGCTACAATTTCTGAAATTGTTTGGTCAGTGATCCTGAGACTGTAGCTGTAACCCAAGTGGAAGCCTTCAATGCAATAAAGGTCATACGAAATTTTTTTACAAACTATCAGGGAGCTAAGGAACATTTTGAGAAGTTACAAAATCCAATAAACATTGTTCGAGAAATGAAACAAAAAAACGAGACAGACCTGCATAAATGATTATTTTAAATAAGGTAAGATCAAAGCCTCCTAGAGAGTGGAACAAGCCGTAATCATCTCACTGTGACGTCAACAGTTCGGTCCCTTCTTTCCGTAAAAATCGAGTCGATTTATGAGTTTTTTCATTTTGTTAAATCGCGGTGAGTGATTGCTGATTTGAGGAGATATTTTTTCAAAGAATTTAACATATTTTTAGCAAGGCAAAATATGAAATTTTTTTTAAGGGTAAATGTGCTTACTTTTATTTACAAATAGTTTTATTATTTTCAACGATTTCGTCATTTTAATTTGATACAATTTTAATAAAATTATCAGATGCTACTGAAATGAATTTATAAAATAATGTTAAGAAACAGTGTTTCAGTTATCAAAAAAATTTTATTCAGCATTTAGCAGAGATACCATTTCAATTAATAAAAATTAAATTTCTTTGTTATTATAAACATATAATGCATTACTTTAATTAAAAAAAATTGCTTATAACATATAATTATTACACATAATTATATCAAAAATATTTTTGCTTTTGAAATTTATTTGTTAAAGTATTTCAATCTAATCTACTAATAATGTTGTTGTTGTTGCTAATTCCCATCTGGTCTGACGGGGTCAGACCAGATCAATGAATCCGTTAACATTGAGAAAATCCGAAACCAGAATGGGAGAGGAATGAATATCGTTCCAGTCCAGCCCTAAACAGATCAAGATGTGCTCAGGTGATGCCTGGTNATTGTACCCAAAAATCATTAATTAAAGACTTCAAAAAAGAGCACTACATTTCAGTCTCAGTAAAGTGTTTATTGTCATTAAATAAAAAATCCTTTACTAAAATTGTATATATCTTAAAAACATTGTTTTATCCAAAATTATAACAATAAAATTTTAATAAGGTATCCTAAAATAATTTTAAAAAATAGACAATAAAATCATCACATAAAACAAGTAAAGAAATAATGCTTTTTTTTTATTACAAGCAAAAATTATATTTTATTTAAAGTAAAAAATTAATAGCACATCAAAGCCTCCACTAAAAATGCTTTCAGTTTTGTTTAGAATTATACAATAAAATTTCAATAAGGCAGATTTTATTAATTTAAAATACATAGACAAAAATTTATAATTTGTTTAGTTTGCAGTTATTGTGTGGATTTTTAAAATTCACGCTATTTTTGAGTTCACCAGCAATTGATATTTATATTTAACTTTTGAAGGCAAAAATCATTTTAATGCTTAAAAATAAATACCTAATGCACTTATGTAAAAAGTGAATACATAGACTAAATTTGGAGGTGAAACTCAACAACGAAGAAAATATTTACCAAGGACCACCATAGTGCAAATTTGAGTTGTAAAAGTTTTCATTAATACAATAGATACTCAGCATTTACTGAAGTTTGAAAATTTATATCTAAATCGCATTATCTTATTATCTTGAAGTGAAGAATATATGTTTTTAAAACTTTTTCGTTAATTTTTAAAATTTTCCAACACCAAGTTTTGAACAATTTTAAAACTCTGTAACATAGTAACTGTACTTAGCAATGCCAGAATCTTTAAACATTTATATTTAAATTTTCACAAATCATAGAACTATGTTTTAACAACTTTTTCCTTACCTTCAAAGCTGTTAAGTGTAAAACTTCCAATGGACTGGCTTATTTTAAAAGCAAGTTTTATATACATATACTTTACATATGTAGATATATACATATGTAGATATATATAAAGTTGTTTCAACACTGTTTTTAAAGAAATTATCACTTAATAAAAAATATCTATAAATACACAAATACTTATTTATATATATACACACACTGTTAGGATTGACATATTTTAGAAAAGCATCAATTCTTCAAAACTTTGTAAAGTTTGTTACCTTGTAAGAAAAATATTAGTTAAAAATAAAATATTTGGCTTAAAATTACAAACGAAGGTGCAAATGATAGACAGTGAACCTACTTATGATATTGTTTTAAAATATATTGCTCGGTCATTCTTTTAACGCATTTCAGAGAAAAGTTATTTAATAATAAGTTAAGGTAACAGATCCAACATTTTGACTTAAATGCTAATCACTAGCAAAGGTTAATTTCGACTTTATTTTTGAAAATCACTCACAGATCTATCAATTGCAATTCATATAAATATCTATTGGAAGTAAATTTTTATAGGTTGATCAACTAAAATTTAATGAATATTTTTATATAATGTAATCACCATAAAATTTTATGTAATTGTGATTAAAATATAATTATAACATGAATATAAGAATCAACTAAAGAATCTTAATTCTTAGTATGCCTGCAGATACTTTTAAATGTAATTCTACCAGAAAGTTTTCACAATTGCAAAGATGCAAAGAAACGTAAATCTTAAACATTTTAAAATTACAAAAAAACATGAATCTTAAAATTACATACCTACGGGTTTAAAGCTATTAGTTTTCTGTCTGTAACTTTGCTTTTATCTTTTGACGCATTAAAATTTGCATTTCTAATATTATCATTACGAATTTTAGCATAATTATTAAGCAAAATATTACTTATTACATTTATACATGAATAGATTAAAGATTTTTCAGTTTTACTACAGTTACAAATTGTATTATCCAAATTATTGCCTTCATCAGCCAATTTTTCTTCGGAAAGTTCACAAATAAATTGTCGTTGGTTTTTTAAGCGTAGAAATATTTCTTCAAACCCAGAAGAAATACAAGTTTAAAAAATTTTCAAAACTGTCATGTACACATTTAGTAGAAAATCATTGGGCCAAAGTAATCCACCACGATCCAGGGCGGATAAATACTTCCTTGCTTCAGGAGCAATGTCGCAGTTGAGTGTCTCCTCAATCGTAAGATGGCTTTTACAAACATTACAATCACCGGCTGCAATTTTAGCCACGTAACCTGCAATATAAATCAAGACTTTCAAATTGTCTTTCGAGACATCGTGTAAATCACAGGTTAACAAAATATCATAAAAAAACTCTGTTGGTTCAAAATTTTCAACGTCATTCACCTTACACGAGTCTAAAAATTCTTTAATTTTAAAATTGCCTTCTTTGGTAGATTTTAATTGCATTAAACTCAGAAGTTTAAGCTTTCTTTCTGATTCAAGTACTTGCGTCACAGATACGTGATAGTTACCTCCGCACATCGTACGGTATTGGCCAAACCTAGCCTCTAAATCATCAGTTTGAAATTTACCGAGGAGAATGTAGGTTGGTGGAGGAACAACATTTCTGAACAAATAGGCACGTAGTGCCAGCATGGTTTTAGTAGTATGTTTCAAGGCAACAAAAGTCTCTTTGGATAGTTTTCCGCTCCTTGAATTAGGTTTTACGAAGGAGGGGCTAGGGAGTGTATCCCATTCCTCTAGCCACAGGATAAATTTTTCTAAATAGTCGACATTAGGCGAATTTAAACTGCTTATCGGGTCAGAATACATATCCCGCTTATGTTTGCCTTTGAAAGGCGTCTTTACATTAACAATTCTCCACCATTTTGATATAATGTTAATGAAAAGTGAAGTGCCAATTACATCCTTCCCAAGCGAACTTCTCATAGTATCTAGAGCAGCAATGTTCTTTTCATCAAACAGTTTCAAAGCCAATGAAACATTTTGCCGCTCTAATCGATTAGGATATAGTGATTTTTGCGTAAGACTTGGAGCCAACTTTATTATGCTATTTGATTTCTCTTTGTACAAAGCCTTTAAATGAGTTATACTGGCATAAAGTTGATTTACCAAGGAAATTTCAGGGGACAGTTTCAATTCAAGAATCAAATTTTTCATTGGCGGAATGTAAAAGGTTTGATTTGTTTCATTATTGTTAAGCCAATTATTACGTATACTTTTCAAAAGATGTACAGTATCAAAAAGCAAGAATATTTGTTCACCTGGAGATACTGGATTTTCA